CAACTGCTTCAACATGTTGTCTAGTTGGATGCGGTATCCTTTTTTCACGCCCATTCGGTTTTTCTTCTTTTCATTGAAGAAGTTTAGATACATTGGATGGTCGAAGTCAAACTTGTAAGCGGCATCCATCTCTGTCTTCTTCACATCGCGTTTCAGAACTTTCTGAACACGTCGTCTATCGGGAAACCATCGCTCAGTGATGTTTTCGATTCCAATTTCAATGGTCTCGAAAGAGTTCTTACGCCCACCAATGTCCAAGTCTACTTTATAATTGATAAGGTGATCGTGTGTACCACTTGTGAAATCCTTGTGGAGGGGGTATGCGTAAGGGTCCATGTTGGAGTCATAGAATGCTCCATAGACGTACCCAGAGGCTGACATTTTAACTTCAATGACACCATTTTGGTAAAATAAGAAGTCAAACACGTAGTCATAGTTATACAGCGTCGCCACAGAACGCAGAACTAAAACTTGGTTGGTCATTCCTCCGTAGAATTTATAACCATTGTAAAAGTTGTTATCATAATGTCGGCGAAGTGGCATTCCAGTGTTTAGTTCAAATACACAGACGGCGCTTCGCACAGTCGTTGGTTTTTCAAACATGTGCACTAGGTCAAAGAATGTTGCGGAGTAGGGACAATCCACACCACGAACCAGCTCCATGCTGTATGCTCCCATTCCCCAGCCTCCATCGAGGAAGTTATTCCACGAAGCGGCTGGGTAATAACCTGTATATGTTGCAGCTGCTTCTTGAAGACTGAGCTCGTAAACAATTCTCTCTCCGTTGAATTTTATATCGTAGATCTGCATGCCACTGTTGGAATCCATTCTGAAATCGAAGGACCAAGACATGTAGCTGACATGACGTCCGTTAACGGTGTAGCGTTTTCCATCGGGCTCGTACTGTTCTGGTCCTCTCATTGGTGTGGGTGGCTGTGGATCTCTCCGACGTTGATAGCTTGAAAACAACGCGTCCTTCCCCTTTGGTGCAGGAACAAAAATCTTGTTGATGGTGTTGTTTTCGTATTTGACCGCTAACTCATCAACAGAGTCAAATGTCTGATTATTGTAGAGAACCTTGAGTATTTTCCATTTTTTCGTGTCCGCTCCTCCAAAATCTACTAACATCGACAAGTCAAGATGTCCTGTCATGTCACGTTTGAAATTAATCCAACTTATGCGATCTTCGGCAGTAAATCCCATAGGAGAAGTAAAACCAATTCCAAGACACTTAGGTGACTTGCATCCGGTGAACGAGAAGCCATCGTAACTCTCTTTCATCAGCTTATCGAGTTTTGCAGAGGCATAATGTACAACATAGGTCATTATCATTCTCATGCGAGTATCAAAAGGCCGAGCATTGAATGTTACAAAGTCTTTCTCCCCACCAGGAATCTTTCTTGCGACGTGCCCAGTAGGTTTGGAAACAGGGCTGACTATATATTCTCTGACAAGCGGGGGATTGGCAGCGCCATGAAATACCACCGCCACAGCTTTCCGTTCAGGCTTGGCGCCATTGTTGTCCAAATACTCTAAAGCTTCATTCTTGGACGGTGGAAGAAACTGTATCATGTAGATGTAATTACTGTCGACCGATGCTTCGGCAGGTTCCGTTAGGTTAAGTGAAGCTTGCTCCATTAGATACGCTCTAACAGCGGTGATTTCTTCGATTGTTAGATCGTCGAAAAGACCCGAAGACTTAGGTGGGTCAGCAAGTCCATCCATTCCATTTTCACAGTTTTCCACTTGAATAACATGATCTCCTTTGGAATTTTCAGCTGGCTCACGATCGCTTTTTGATTTCTTCGTTGCTACAACAATCAACGCAATCATTAACGCTACACTTATCAGAATGAAGACGATGGCCAGAACTTTCCACACCACGGATGCATTGGTAGGTGCGCGATCGGATTTCTTCTTGACCATGGGATCACTTGTCTCCATGACAATAAAAACTGACCTATAAAATGAAAAAAATGGTAAACTGACTCGTGTTATGGCGTGACTTCAAGCGATACTACAATACGTCAATACACCAAGGGCTAAAAATAGCAGGGAGTTGTGTGTTCAATTGAAGATCACTGTTAGAACGACCTAAGAGTTTTTATGCCTATTTGTTGAACCTCAACAGAAAGCCGTCAATATCCTATTTTCAATGAGGCATTGATACAAGTAATCGTAGTTCGTCATTTTGCAAAACTCCTGCAGGGCTGGTATTGCTTGAAAGACTGTTGTTGTCTGTCTCTTAATCTACGAGTACACTAAGCAATTGTTACTCGCTTAATGTCCATGCATAATTAAACAGCCTAAAAACATTTGAAATGTCACGTTGAATCTGTAGAATACTTTCGGAGGAATGTTTTAGAGTTAAATTTGTTGAAAACACACAACGTTTTTAGTATCATCGTGATATTTTGATTCAAATGAATTTGAAAGGATCCTATCATGTGTACATTGCGTCTAATATTTTAGGTGTTTTTACAACTACGTTAATCAACTGTCCCAAGCGTAATTTCAAGCGACTCAAGTATTGAATATACCAAAGGCTAAAAATAGCAGGAGGTTGTATGTTTAATTGAATGTGTCATGATACCTTGGAGTAAAAAGAAAACGAAAGGAGCAGAGTACATAGCGCAGTAACACAATGATCCTGGCTAGGTATCGATATTTCAGGAGTTGCAGCTCACCGAGGGGTTTCAAAATGCACCTACGTTAATCAACCAACTAAAGCTAAGAGAAGTTGCAAGAAACTACATATTCATTTCCTTCTCGTTTTGAATTCTTTGCAATTGCATTGGAATGATGTATCATAGATTGAGGTGTGATTTTACATATGATAAAGAAATGGTCGCATGTAACGACAAAATGCAACCAAGTGAAACCGTCGTTAAATATTTGGATGATTTTTCCAATTTAAGATTTCATTTTGAGTTTAAGCAAAAAGCTCCCGCGGTGAACATGAAAGGAGAGTATTACAGGCTTCCTTAGGCAACTCGCCTCACAATGAAATATTTTTCCTGCCGATTATCACTCCAATTACCCAGTATGTTTGTTTAATTTATGCTGACTCTCAACAAAAGAATTTTGATTTTGGATTACGCCACGCAAGCATCCGTTTATTGATAGAGAAGCGTTTGGACTAGCCAGAACAAGAGATCATGGCATTGGATGTGACCCTCATTACACATTCAAATGGTTCAGGTCTACATTGACTTAAGCAAAGTGAACTGCAGGCCTTCAGAGCAAAAGGTCAAAAACCACTTCTAATGAAATCCAATTCCTTCAATCTAGAATGTCTTTACATGTTTAAATACCGTTAAATATCGCTTCTAGTAAAAGCTGGACCTTGAAAATCAGTGCATCTGAAAGAACCTCACCTGCAAGACGATGAAATACCCAATATACACTAAGCGTTCGTGAAGCTGATCAATGAGTAGTGATTGTGACTGAACCAACGGCCCAGCATGCTTTTCAAG